CGTAGACTACCTCGTAACCCTGTTACTACTCTCTCTCTCTCTCTCTATATATATATATATATATATGCCCTGTAGCAGGCATGCATGAGGGAGTCTTCTGGTTATTTCTTACTCTGCTCTCTTTCAGACCTGATTTCCGGATCTATGATCCGGAATATAGATAAGATATTTTTACTCTGTATATTATATTTATATGTATCGGAATTTATATATAAATTTATTTTTTAAATAACTCAATTAGATTTCATTACAATACTAATAATAAAATTAATTTTAAAAAATAATGTAATTTTCTTGATACAAGATATAATATAAACTATAATTATAGAGCATTAATTAGATATAATCAAATAATATTAATTATTATAAAAAACAGGTTCTAAATATCTAATAAAAATAACTTGCTAACAAGTTATAAACATAAAAAATAAATAATGTGAGGATAATTTTAACAATTTAGTAAGTATATAACATTTAATATATATGCACGAGATAATATAATAATATGAAATATACATGTATACACAAATATAACAAATATAATGTTAAGTTTTTATAAAAACATTCTTTAAATATACCATAACAAGAATATCATGAAATAAAATTCATTAAAAAATCAAAATTAAATAAGCATGGAGCTCCATGTTAGGAAATGATCAATTCATACAAGTTTGTAACTCTTCTGATCAATTAGGATTTTATATACAATATGCATAAAAACTAATATTATTTTATTAGCATAAAAATTTCGATTGAGATATTATACTTTATATATAACAAACAAATATATTTACATCTGAAAATTCAACTTATAACATCAAATAAATAACAAGTTATCAATTCAAGGGTACATAATACTTCATAATAAAAAACTAATTTTAATAAGTAATCATAAACAATAAATAAATAACAATATAAAAATTATTAAGAAGCATAATTGGTGCAATTCTTGAATCAACCTTACGTTAGAGTCAAGGATAGGGTAAGACACAAAATCTCTCTGTGTTTGTTGGAATCACTCTAATGAAAACTTTATTCAAAGTTGTTATTTGGTCAAAAATTCATGTCCTCTGTTCCTTTCATTCAGCCGTTAAATATTAATATAAACATATTATTTTTTATTTCAACTAGGAAACTAGGGAAGCAATAATAGATAAAATCTCTAACTCTAACTAGAAAAATAATAAACTTGAAAAATACTATCAAGAAAAAAATAGAATTGCAACAGCTCGTAATGTTTGTGAAGACTTTTGATCACGACACTATAAGGGTCCCTTTTCCATAGTTGCATCAATAATCAATTTTATATTAATAATTTCAGTAATTATACTAATTTTATAACATATAAAAAATTATTTATTCATCTAAATTAATAACGAAAGGTCTTAAAAATAGATGTTCAAGGAATTATACTCATCTCCTGCAGGTAGGATATTATAATTATCCTAATATAAAAAAGACATATTAAAAAAATACTTCAAAGAAATGTATAATCTATTTAACATATTTAATTTAGAGTATAACTTATAATCTTATATGTTTAAAAATAAAATGTAATTATAAATTGAAAATGATCTGCCCGATCAATCTCAAACATAACCTAAACTGACTTAACTTAAAAAAATCATTTAACCTCTCTGTTAAGTTAATTAATTTAACCTAATTGGTTGACTGAAATATACCAACCGATCTATTAAAATACAACACAAGAACTAATTTACTGGTTCTACCCAACTGACGGATCAAAATCTGGTAGGTTAAACAATCGATCAATTTATCATGATTCTAGATTTCCAATTATCAATTTCAAATAAACTAAAAATCTTAAAAACTCATGGCAAATCAATAAACCCATATCAAATATTCTATAACACTGCAACCCATCTTATTATAATCAACTAATTTATTACCTACATTCAATTCAATTCCTCAGTTAATCTTTAAAAATACAAATTTAAACCCTAAACCTTAACAAAACCAAGAAATCAAAGCTAAAACCCATAATTATCATAAACCTTATTAAAACATAAACCTTATCATAAACACCTAATCTCTACAATCATTTTCCTTTTCATCTTCTTTTTCTTCTCATTGCTCCGTTCTCTCTTTCTCTCTCTAGTCAAATTTATTTATTTATTTTTAACTTTCTATTTATACCTATCAAGTTTCTATTCAATTATCTCAATGCCCTTTATTTATTTACACCTAATTCCAAGCCTCCAAGCATCTTGTTATCTTTTCCTCTTTATTCTTTCTCTTTGTTTTTCAGAACATCACCATCTCTTTGCAACATTTTGGTTATGGGAAAGTTAAAGAGACAAGTGTATGTTTCTGTGTTATTACTGTGGATATATAGGTGGCTGCAGTGATTCTTTATTGCGTTCTCTGTGGAGCTACCCACAGTGGGTTGCCGGATTGTTCTATCTAGCAATCTTTGCAATTTTTGCCATATGGAGAGCTGGCATAATGGACAGAGGAAGGGGGAAAATGAGAGAGATAATATTTATGGTAGACGTTCCTAACAATTTATTATTATTATTGTGTTTTTGCTTGTTATACTTACCAGATTATAAGACTCTTCCTTTATCTTTTCTATTTTTTTCTACTTGTTATTCGAGCAACCAAAACTCAAATCCTAATTTAAATATTGAAGTGTTTTTTATTTCACTAGTGACTTGTTTTTACAGAATCAGTACAGGCCAGGAACTCATTTTTGTGTGAATTTTTTCGACAACTTCATCGTAATCTATTCATCGGTTCAATTGACCAGATCCAGTCAAAATATCAGTTAACTTGATCATGGCTTAAACACAACATGATTAATATATAACACGTTAATTTTTTTAAAATTACATTATTCTAAGCTCAAATTGATATTCAATTTTTTAAATTTTATTAAGGACCAGAACAATTCTATGATAGCAACCACAGTGAAAAGTGAAAAACACGGAGACATATAATGACGAATCTAATATTTTGACGCGAAGTCTTTTTTATTCAAAAGTTTTTTTTCTTATTTTTTAAAGTTTTTTAAGTTATTTTTTTCCATAAATTACATCATTTTCTAGCCTAATTGCATGGTCTTGGAAAGATATGTGACCTTGATTTGATTTTTTTAATATATTTTTAATATTTTTTTCCTACTTAAAGAGCATGTGATGTTTTGTAGTGTGTTTCTTATGTATTTTGAGGTGAAGATTTAGGTGAAAAGTGGATTGGCTTGGTCCAAAAACTCAAATCCAATTTTCTTGTCAGTTTCTACTCCCTGTGGTTGTCAAAAAATAAAGCAATTAAACTACACGAGTGATATGTTCTCTTTTAATTTAAAAAAAAGAAGTGATATGTTCTCTTTTAATTAAAAAAAAAAAAAAGAAGCAAGGCCCAACATGTGGGCCATGCTATCCTCTTTTTTTTCTCTCTCAAGATTTACATACTAAAATATAAAAAAATAAAGTTTAGGACCGAATTGTAAAATTCAAAAACAATAAGAACAAAATCAATAAGAAATTAAAATTTAAGGAACATAAGTCTATTTTCACACCCTTTTAGAACAATATAGATTTGGAAAAGGCTGTTAGTTTTTGTTAATTTTAATATTGGTGTTTGTTCTTTTATTTCTTTTTATGATAACTAAAAATTCTATTATTTAAGATTGATTAATACTGGAACATTCTTTGACACCCCAAAGGCCTGATAGCATGCAATCCAAAGAAAATAAATAAAAAACATATGGAGCCATGACAACAAAACATTTGAGGACCAAATTGAAAGAAAATAAAGTTCAATGACCAAAGCTAAAAGAAGTTAAAACTTGAGTAAGTGTAGTTTCATGCACCTTTAGTGTAAAGATGGGGGAAGGGCTGTTAATTTTTGTTAATTCTAATCTTAGTCCTTGTTCTTTGAACTCTTTTTTTGTTTCCTGACAATAACTAAAAATTCTATTATGTAAAATCAACCTCTCATTTAATGCTGGAACATTCTTTGACATCCTGGATGCGTGATAGCATGGAATCCAAAGAAAATAAAAAAAGTACAGGACTATGAAAACAAAACTTTTAAAGACTAAATTGAAGAAAATAAAGTGCAATGACCGAAGCGAAAAGAAGTTGAAATTCTAATGACCCGGGAGAAAAATCTGCCTATGAACAGTGAAACGTTAGAGCGGATGAACAATGTCAACACAGTGAAAAGCTGAATTTTTTTTGTCAATGTTACTGTTACTGTTAAATGGAGCACTAGAAGCAAGTTCATCGAATGCAAGTGCGCATGTATCCTCGTGAATGAATTTAGGTGAAGAGGATGCTTTACGTATGCTAACTCAGAATTGTTTTGCTGAATGTGATAAAAAGAAAGAATGACATTCTCGGAAAGAGAGCATTAAAGACATTTTGTTTCTGCATTTGGTCGGAAGTGATCAAGAGAAGGGAGCCTCACCGGCCGATCTTGAAGAGGTGAAAGTACACAAACAGAAACACGACTCTCTGTGTTCAAGGGAATTGACGATGCTGGTTGTATTATCTACTAGCCTGTAAATCCATGTTAATAGAAAGAATTTTTGCTACACTGTTTCCATCTCTGGTATAGCTCTTTGGATATAGCTCAGCATGCCCTTTGGAGCTTTGGGCAACTTGTAGCACCAGAAAAGAGTGGTGATAAGCAAGCACTAAATTTGGTCAATATGACTACAATGATGATGGTTGCAGTGTTTGTCATTAAATTATCTTCAAAATTTCTGGTTTCATACTTGAAAAATGACATCGCTATGGTCTTAAATAGCAAGCAAGCTTTCATCTGATTATGACCAAAGAAAGGTTAATATTTTGGAAGCACAAGAATCAGAAATAGCTAAAAGTTAGCCATCTTTTTTTAGAGAGAACATTAGCAATTTTTATGTACATAAAAATTAACATATGAAATATTTCATCATCGATATACTTACTATAGGAGCTAGGAACACAGATGATGTTTTAATATTTGAACTAACATGGATCATCTAACCTCTACAAAGCTACCTGTTGCTTTACAACCAGGACCGAATATTTTTCAGTGGTATCCATAGATGCGAGCAGGCTTCCTATGACACCAAGCTCTGGGTATTCATTCATATCGTCAAGACCTGCTGTTTGTGGTGTTTGTATATCTTTCCGTCTCCCAACAATAAAAAGGTCGTATTTATCTAGCATAGATCGAATTGTCTTTGAAGTTTCCAGGCCATCGCTTACCCTCTCTTCAATGTAATCCACTGTTTCATCCTCTGTGTAGTCATGCATAATATAGTTCAACGCCTGAGAATCTAGCATGCTATCCCGATTAATTTCGAGCTCATCAGTTGAGGGAATGAAGCGAGCGATTTTTATGCTGATGTTCCTATTCTGGGACATGCGTTTAGCTAACACAAGAGCTTCTTGATCATCGTTGCCTCCGAAGAATATCACAACAACAAATAGGGATGACCCTCTTGATGATTCCAAGAAAATGGACTTTACTTGGTTCCCACGGTCAATGAGGATCCCTACAGAGCACGGTGCTCTCTCAAGGACACAGCAATTTAGAGTCCTTAGAGTAGAGTCCTCTGATTCAACAGACCCATCAACAAGCCATTTTTTATGAAATGGAAGCACTAAAAAACATGCAAGTTCATCCAATGCAAGTGTGCATATGTCCTCGTGCATGAATTTGGGTGGAGAGATTGCTGTGAAGACATTTACAGAAACAGCGTCGCGATAATTTTGTTGGAAGTGTTTAAAAGAGAGAATGACATTCCCAGAGATGGAGTGCAGAGAGATCGTTTTTTTCTGAATTTGGTGAGAAATGAACATAGGGGAGGCTCGGCCACTGATCTTGATGAGGTGAAGTACACTAACAGAAAATGGGCTCTGTATAGTTAACAAGGATTTGATAAAATTGATGATGATGGTTGTGTTATCTGGTTTGTAAATGCATGTTAGTATGCGGAGCTCTTTGCTGTGCATAATGTTTCTCTTCTGATAACCTGCATACTTCCTTGACGGATCATAAACCCAGTTCACAACGAATGATGAGATCGTTGCTGACAATAGAACTGTAATTACCAAGAAAGCGAACATCCCCTCTGTCAGAATCTGCCCTTGATCAAGTTGAAAACAAAATGAGAAAACAATAATGCAAAGTTAGACGTTAGAGATGCTATATATATATATATATAATAACCATGAACAATTAATAATGCTGCAAAAATTAATACAGGTAACATGGAAGGTTGGTCAACATACCCCTAGTTCTCTCATGTAAGTAAACGAGCCAAGCTCAACGATTCCTTTGGTACTTATCAGGAAAGCAAGTGCCAAGGCATCCTTTTTTGGCAACTTGAAATACAAGAGAGGTACCAAGTAAGCACCGAATTTGGCCAAGATGACTACAGAGACGACGATAGCAGTGCTCTTCAGTATATAGTCATCAAAATCGATCTTTAGGAGATCTGCTCCCATCGTGCACATGGCCATAAAAAGAGGTACGAGCACTCCAGTGACAATGCATTCGATCTTCTCGACTACAGCTGATGCAAGTGGAGGTCCTGCTGGTACAGCTAATCCGAAAACAAGTGATCCAAGGAACACATTTAGACCAATATAATTAAATAATGCACCAGAAGCCAAGGCACCGAAAATGATGATGTCTGTGTATAAATCTTTCACAGGCCTTCCTTTGGGTGTTTGTTTGATCACCCAGAACATTGCCGGCCTCACCACATATAAAACTACAACAAGAAAGGCTACAGATATTACAACGCTTTCGATAGCTGCTTGTGCTCGCTGCTTGTAGGCAATGCCTATAAAGAAAGCAACTAGTGCAATAACCTGGGTCAGCATTTCACTGGTTAGCACTGAAGACAGTCCAAGTCTGCCAAGTTCAGAATTCGTCAGTTTAAGGTCACCGATGAAGCTACAGATGACAGGAAATGGAGTCATAGATTGCACCAACATCACCAAGATGAGTGAGAGCCTATCTAGTTTGTCGAGATTCCAGTACTTGCTGACCATCCTCCCAGTTACCCCACCAAGTACTACAGGAATCACCATAGATAATATACCACTGTAGATTGCCATTTTCCCTGTTTTTCTTACCAAGGCTATATCCATCTTAATTCCATTTATAAATCCAAAGAGTTGGTAACCCAATCCAGCTAATGTGCCAAGTATTTGTTTACTGTCAACAGTTAAAAAGATCCTTGTGTAATCTGATTGTTGTCCAAGGCCTGTTGTTCCAACGATCACTCCAGCCTAAAACACAAATCAATCACAAAATTGCAGTAAATAATTGCAATGAGCTGCTCTATCATATAGTCTTTCATATTGAGAGTTACAAACATTTAACATTCAAAAATTAAGCTACTAGTAAAATTCTTTGATGCCAGATTGTGTTAAAAATTCACAAGCCAACAAAACATGTACATGAAGAAGAAATCTGCTTGATATAAAAGAATGGCAATCTCATATAGTTTAATCCCTATATACACGGCATGATCACTTTTTGGCCATCCCATATGGTTCTAAGAAAGAAATGCACAATTTGTATTACATTACAGAAATAAAAATGGACAAGAGAGGCACAGGAATTAAAGAAATAAGGATAATAAAGACGTACAAGAACCTGCGAAACCAAGATATGGATGCCGTATCGCTTAAGAATGAAATGACAACCATGGCTGATGAGAAATATTGCAAACATATGCAGCTCCAATATTGGCAATGAAGCGGTCAGCGAGTGTTCATTTTGAAGCCAACCATTTGAATTTACATTTGGTGGTATGCTTGTGCATTTTCTCGTCTGTGTTTTATTTAAATGTACTCCTCCTAACGTATGATTCGATTGAAGATCCATCTGGCCACGGCCACCGGCAGGACAGGACAAGGGTGATGAAGAAGAAGAAGAAGAACAAGAGGAAGGGGAAATATGGAAACAAAAGAGGTATGCTTTCTCTCCTATACCTCATTTTTAATTTCTTGCTAACATAGAGTTTCTTAGGATTCAAGATTGGACGAGTTGCGCTGTATTTTTTACTTTTAACAACATACTAAATTAATGACTTCTTCAACAAATATTAATTTTTATTAATTTCCAATAACACGACACGTAAAATTGCATGAAGTCAGGGCCAGATCCTATATATAGACTACGATGTCAATTATAAGCGTTGTCCACACTGGAAAGACCGTGAAAATGTCTACAAAATTGCAGGAGAATCCTTGGAAATATTTCAAGCGCGCAGCAAACAGCTTTTTCTAGGCTTCCTTGCAAAAAGAATTGGAAGGCCTTTGAATAGATAAAGCTCCTAACTTGGATTAATTTGAAGAATCTTAACATATGCACTGCTTGCTTGGTACTCCTTTTGTTCCCAGGTAAGATAGAGAGATAAAATGATCTTTGGATTCGAAAATATTCACATAACATATGGATTTCATTTATTGTATTTTTGTAAGGGTTTTTAAAACTTCATTTATTATTTTATAATATATCCATAATATTTTATATTTTTAGAATAGAAGTTTAGAAGATTATTATTAGTTTTAAACACATGAGACATTTTGATTTTTTCTTCTTTCACTCCTTTTTCCTTCCGTTCCTTTTCTTTTTTCCTTTCTCCTCCTCCCTCTTTCTCCCTCTCCATTCCTAACTGATTTAAAGAGAGTATATATATTATATCCTTTTTCATGCTACTTTCTACACATACCATAAATTACATAAAACACTAAAAAAAGAATCACTTTATAAAAAAGAAAATGAAGTTGTTGCTGACCTGGTTAACACAATTAAGAATAAAGAGGTTGAGGATTCCAAAAGCTAGTAGTTTGCTTTGGTTTTTTAAATCAAGACATATGACATGTTATTTATCATTTATTTTTTTTTAAATAAAATAGGTTTATTTTTTTTAAAATAAAACAAGATGAGGCATGCATGTCTGGGTGTCAGACGCACGAGCACTTGGCCTACTAAACATGTGTAGGCCGGACTAATGTTGTCAATATAGGAAGTTGACTTGTAAAATTATATGATTTTACAAGTTAACATATATATATATATATATATAACATGAAAAATCATTAAAAACTTGAAAACGATCAAACAAACTTGATCAAATTCAATGAAAACAGACCAAGTTAACGAGTTTGACAAAAAATGAAATAAAAAATTCACTATCTCCCCTCTATGTCACAAAGTTACTCTCTCCTTTTCCCTTTCTCAAATCTAAAGAGTTCTTCAAGCGTGCTCTCCCTCCACAACTTACCGAGTCTTGTCTCTGTATGAGCAAAACTCAAACAACAATTGATTTGTGTATAATAATAAGTTATTGAAATAGATTGTTCAATAAGATCGGTTGAATCAAAGAAGGCAGTTTCACATAATAGATAAAAAAGAGCTTTTAGCCATGTCGAGAAGAACCAGCAAATCATAGAACTAGCCGCTAGCTGCACCATCTAATAGGGAAAGAGTAGAGACTTATACTAGAAAGTGGTTGGGGTTTCTTTCCAACTCAGTGATCTACTCTTGCAAAGATGAGTGGGCGATCTTCAGATCCTTACGTATAATGTGGCATCTCTTATTTCAACAGTAATTCATGCCAAGCAAGCTTCATGCTAAAAGTACCAATTGAGATGCCTTATTTGCCTTAAAAAAAATACTTGAAAAAATGATGGTTTAGGTTTTTTTCAAGTTTTGATTTTTGCTTTTTTTTTCTTGTTAGTGGATTTGTTTGTGGAACTCTGGAAGATAATAGTGAAACCATGTGAGAACACTATTATTTTGTCCTCATATATGTTAAGCTTAGCTTTAGCTTTCTAGCTGAAAATGAAAAACTCTAAAGATAACATTGATTGTAGATTAAAACCCCAAATTAGAAGAATATTTTAGCTGTTTGTTTAGTTTTTACTAATTTCTTGAATATTGTCATAGCTGGAGGTCGGTCTATATAATTTTTTTAGATTGTCAAAATGTTTGAACTCTTGTTGGAGCACATTGTAGTAGATTATTATTGCTAGGTTAGGTGTCATTACAGTAAAAGCAAAGTTTGGTAATCAAACTTGTAAAATAAAATCAATTTTTTTATGATAATTTCTTTTGTAAAATCAACATATAGGTTAATTTGAGGTGCATTTTGATTTTCTTGATAAGTGTGATTTGTGGGTTTTCATGCTATTTTTTGTTCTTTGTAGGTTTTTTTAACTATTTGGTGATTGAACATAATGAATTTTACAACGGTGTCGAACAAACGTTGAGTATGAAGGAACTAGTTACTAATGTCCTTGTCTATGAAAGCATTACTGGTAATTCTCGTTTCCTTCTAGAATATTGTTTTGTTTGCATTGATTTTTTTTTTAATTTGCGTGGGATGGTGTTATGGTGTCTTTGTGATTATAAAAGTATTATTGGTAATGCTTGTTCCTTTTTATAATATTATTTTGTTTGTATCATCTTCTTTGAATTTGGGACAATAGGCTTTTCTTGAAAAAATTTCTAATAATTTCACGATTCGAGTTTATTTTATATTTTTTATGTCGTGTCAAAAATATATTTTTAACAACCTTGGGCCTGACCCTGTGAAGATTTTTTTTTTTGTTTTTACTTTTTCGTTTTTTTCTAGACATTTCAAAATACTTTATCGGGCTCACTTACTCTTATGTTTTGACATGGTTCTTAAATGTTATTATAAATTTTTATTTAAAAAATAATACTAATAATAAATTATTTATGAAAATTCAATTGAAATCAATGTTTATTATTAAAATGTTTAAATATATTTGGAACATGATTTTATAACATTTATGATTTTTTAATCTTTTAATAACACAAAATATTAAAATACTATTTTGATATTTTTTTAAAATTTGCTTTAATAATCTTTTTTTTCAAAAACAATGTTTTTAGTTAAAATATCATATTGGTAATTATAAACAAGAGATACATTAATAGAAAAAAATATTTTTATGAAGAGAAAATCCAACTGTATTTTTTTGACAAAAAAGCTAGTTTTTTACTTAAAAATTGAACCTTTTCATTTCCTTTTACTCATTTCTCATTGAACAATCCTGCAAATAAAAAAAATTGTTGTAAAAAAAAAACAAGAATGAGAAAAGAAGATTTTGTTATATATATATATATAAATGTTTTTCCATGATTGTATGTGTTTTTTTATTTTTATTTTTATGTTTTGTTTTGTAGTTTCGTATAATTACATAATTAAAGAGTAGCTTAAAAACTGTTCCATGCAGTAGCTCGTGAGCAGTTAGCTATGCTTATTTTTCTAATACATTCATGTAAAAATTATTAATTTTTTATTTTTTTGGTTTTTTATTAAAAATTTCTTTTAAGATTTTGATGAGTTATTAGTTACAAAATAATTAATAGTTCTGATAAAAATAAAAAAGAGAACCCATTAATAAGATAAAAGGGTTTTGATTAAGGAAATATGTATTTTTTTATCCTTCATTGATTTTTTTAATTGCTTTGAGTTATTATCCAATAAGGAACATAGCTAATAAAAAACATTATATTTTTTATGTAAGAAATATATTGATAAGAAAAGGGGAATTTGTATTAGAAAATTACTTTCTTTTCAACAAAATTCTAGTTCACTACTTTTTCTTACTCAAAATAAGTTTATTACCATATAATTAAATAAAGAGAATTTTGAGCAGCTATTTTCGAAATCAAATATTTTATTTGTATATATTTTTCATTTTTCCACTTTATATTTTAATTATTTTGTTAATTATTTATTAATGCATATAATTTATAATTTACCTTATTGGATGCACGATTTACTTTTCAATTCACGGTTAAGATTTTTCATGTTGCCAAAAGTACATTTAGAACCTGCTATTATTATCTTTTTTCATTAAAGATTAACTTTTGATTTAACCCAGGGCCGGCGTAACAAGGGTTAGTTGGCTAATGACACTCTAATGGAAAGAAACAAAATTTATTTTCTTAATTTAGCAATTACATTTTTAATAATCCATAATTGCAAGTAGGGAATAACTACGTACTTTATTACAACATTGATCTATAAAATTACCTTGTGATTGGCAGGGTTAGACAGTGCCTGTTAGTTTCGTCCATAGAGAGGGGGCGACTGTAGAGATTTAATTTCCTAGCAAATATAGGTGTTGGTACGTAGTGCTTTGACTTCGATCCTCAGTTGGAATTCGTTTATAACTTTAATTCTATTTTTATATATATTTTTTTATAATGATTTGTTACATTAAAAATAATTTCATAAATTTTTCAAGATGCTAATCTCAAGATTAGAATTGTTCATCATTAATATGAACATGCTTGCTTGAAAGAGACTTCTGGTGCTTATCCAGTAGAGAATCACATATGATCGAGTGTTTGAACGAGACAAGAAGAGAGATAGCAGTCCTCCAGTGTAATTTTATTCTACCAGCAAGAAAAGTATTATTTCAGTAAATTAATATCATAATATATTGGAAAATGTCAGATTTTCCACATATGATGTTTTTTATTGCAACAATAATAATATCAGTTATTAATTTCTACTCGCCAACACCCTGCTGGTAGCTTCAAGGTAATTTCTCTTTTGATGACTTCAAACTCTGTAAATCAAAACCAAGAATTGTATTCATACGTAAGAGAAACAAATTAAATAAATAAATATACAGACTAGCTAGAAGAAGTGATAAGTTAGGCTTACTGGGTGTAATCAATGT